AACTAGAATGTGGGTGGGTGGTGAATGAGGTGATATGCGTGGGGAATGAACCATATGGGAATTCCGGTCTGTGAAAGCGAGAAGGCAGTCAAGCGAGCATGCATTGGTAAGGCATGATCTCTTTTCTGCCACGTCTGTAAAAGCATCAGCGTGCTCAGGCGCTTTTTGAGGTGTCTCAAATGTAAGCAGCAGCAGCAGCAGCAGTATGAGGCATGATAACGTACTGTTGAAAGGAACGCAAGTAGCACAGAAGTCCTTGCACGGGCCGCAGAATGGAGAGTCCTTATTCTGTTTTACCACGCAATCACCCCCGTTGGCCGGACACGTGAAGTTATTCCAGTCAAGTTTCCTGGCAGGGGATGGTCGAAGAGTGCACGTGCCATGAGGCGGGGAAGGGACAGAGGGAGGGAGGGAGGGAGGGAGGGAGGGAGGGAGGGAGGGAGGGAGGGAGGGAGGGAGGGAGGGAGGGAGGGAGGGAGGGAGGGAGGGAGGGAGGGAGGAAGGGAGGGAGGGAGGGAGGGAGGGAGGGAGGGAGGGAGGGAGGGAGGGAGGAGGGAGGAGGGAGGGAGGGAGGGAGGAGGGAGGGAGGGAGGGAGGGAGGGAGGGAGGGAGGGAGGGAGGGAGGGAGGGAGGGAGGGAGGGAGGGAGGGAGGGAGGGAGGGAGGGGGGAGGGAGGGAGGGAGTGAGGGAGGGAGGGAGGGAGGGAGGGAGGGAGGGAGGGAGGGAGGGAGGGAGGGAGGGAGGGAGGGAGAGAGTGAGGGCAAACCATTGAGAGAGAGACAACAGCCTTGGTAAGATGCTCTCAAGGCTATTTCCAGAGCATTGTGGAGCATTAAGATTGTCTCACGCCCAGCAGGCATCCCATACAGCACAACCAAGTCACCATACAACACTATAACTGAACAGTGATCCTCCCCAAGCAACCGCTCTTGTTCTCGACTCCCTCTCCCTCTCCTTCCATCTCTCCCCCTCTGCCCTGTTTCCTGCCCCCTCTGTACGCGTTTCAGAGCAGCTCTTACAGGGTCATCATCTTCCCCAAGGAGGCGGGAAGGGGCCCGGACAGCTGGTTGCCTTGCAGCTCGCTGAGAGAGGACGAAGGGTGGCAGAGGAAGGGTATGGGATGGGGCATGGAAAACCCAGAGAGATGGTTGGACGCTTTCAAGGTGAATGGTAGTATCTGCACATGATATGAGGCGACTCAAAACTAGGTTACCTGGAGAGGCTGAGTCAGTCAGAAGCAGCAGCTAATCCGAAGCGTTGCTTTCTCTCTGCCTCTGGAGCATTCCCGAACAGACTTACACTCAAGGAGCGCCGTAGGAGCGGGAGATGTTGCCAATACCCAAAGGAATGCTGCCAGTGAGCTGATTATTCGAGAGGACCCTGCATCATGAGGTATACATGTGGTTACAGGAAACATGAGCGGGCAGATGAGGGCCTTAGTTTAATGTTCTAACCTTCATTCCTATGTATTAGCCTGCACCTGGTGGCCTTTCTCCACCTTCCACTAGCATAGAACGAGAAAAGCATCAGCGTCTAGCCTAATCAAGTGGACAGAGCTTATGTAGGGGATGTAAGGCAAATAGATGAAGTTGCTTGTGATTCATCCCATTTTTGCCTTACATATTTCTCTGTGCATGCTTACAGGTGAGTGAGGTTTGCGAGTTGCGAAATCCACGAAGGAATGCTGCCAGTGAGCTGATTTCCCGATAGATCACTACGCATAGGATATTGGGGAGAAAAAAGAGTAAAGTAAGAGAGACAGAGAGAGAAACGCTAGCGCAGGAAGAAAACGAGTAGAAAACTAGAATAGCCGATGAGGCAAGTGAAGAGCGGACGAGCGGACGTACAGATCCATCAACGTGGTCATGTTGGAAATACTGTCCGGTATGCTTCCTGCGAGCTTGTTATTGGTCAGGTACCTGCACGCAATGGCACATGGCACCGGGCAGTGCAGGGCAGGGCAGGGCAGGGCAGCGCAGCGCATGGCATTGCATTGCTGATCATACAGCGGTTCCACACAGTCGCACAACGCGCACCTGGAGTGGTGGCGGGAGACGAGTCAAATGGAAGCAACGTGCCAAGGCACAGGCACAGGCACGAGTCGCGGCGCACGCAGTGGGACAGGGCAGTGGTGAGGTGACAAAACGGGACAAGATGGGCCGAGATGGGCCGAGATGGGCCGAGATGGGCCGAGATGGGCCGAGATGGGCCGAGATGGGCCGAGATGGGCCGAGATGGGCCGAGATGGGCCGAGATGGGCCGAGACGGGACAAGACGGTACGAGATGGGACGAGGTGGGACGTACAGTCCGGTGAGTCCAGCGAGCTTGCTGATGTTGTAGGGGATGCTGCACTGCAGGGAGCGACCTTCCAAGCTCCTGAGGCACAAGGGATTCGCACAATAGCACGCGCCAAGCAAGCGCCAACGCCGTGTCATCCAGTCATGCCATGCCAAGCCATTCAAATCCATGGAACAGCAGCAGGCGCAGAGAGGTGGGTGGGTGGGTGACTTTCACGCGGCGTCGCCGCACGGCAGCTAGTGTATAGTAAATACATGTCGCCCATGAAGGAATGGAATCCCATCCCATGAGTGATGCGATGAGCATGGATGTTGGCATTCTGCGATGAGATGCGATGCGATGGGCGATGCGCTCACAGCGAGTTGACCATGCCGCGGTCGTTGCAGAGGACGCCTTTCACGGAGCAGTAGGACGGGTTGAAGGAGTCTGTCAGGCCGCATGTCTCTCGAAATTCTTGCAGCACATTGGCTGCGCAGGCACGCGCAATAAGAGAGAGACAAGGGGAGGGTTTGTCTGAGAGGAAGTTGCTGGAACAAGCTGTCGTGGGCGACGTCTCAGAGAGAGAGAGAGAGAGAGAGAGAGAGAGAGAGAGAGAGAGAGAGAGAGAGAGAGAGAGAGAGAGAGAGAGAGAGAGAGAGAGAGAGAGAAGGTATACATGCTTGAATGCATTGTGAATATTAATGCGAAGGACCATTCAAAGGTATGGATCAGCCTTTTTTTTTAAGTCGACTTTTGGATCGACTAAATAACCGAGAAAGTTGAAGAAACAAGCTGTCGTGCGCGCCTCAGCCTGAGCCGCGGGGATTGAGGCCTAACCGCACCTTGAGAGTACCAGCCGCACCTTGGGATCTCTTGTAGGCCGTCGTGTTGCACAGGCACGAATACGCCGAATAGAGTTCCTTCGCATTGGGACACAAGCACCCGACAAGAGGACCCGCGCCATCAGGATGCGCATCAGCGGGTTGCGGGTAGTGGAAGTAATGGTTCAAGCCCAGAACGAGGAGGAGCAAAAGTGCGAGACGCAGGCGAATCCGGAACGCCATGACGACGACGAGCCGTGCCGTGAGTGGATGATGTCACGAAGTTGTGAAGACGACTCGTCTTGGGATGGAGAGTCGGGTTCCGCGGGAGGAAGTTATGTTGAGCAGACTGACAGGAAGTTGTCACGGAAAGCGAAAGCAGCTCGTCCGGCAGGAAAGGAAGAATGGCTGGTAGCGGGGGGAAGTTAGTAGGCTGAGGTTCTGCAAGACGAGTGGTACTGCTACTTCTACTGCTACTACTTGAAGCTGGTAGGTATTCTCGAGAATTTAAATAGGGGGGGACGAGCAAAGCGTAGCAGCATTACCACCACCACATCCTGCCTCGGCGTTCGCCTGAAGTGACGAGGCACGTTGGAGGGATGAGGTGTCGTTGACACGTGGATGCCGTGGCGTGACGAGTCACCACGACGTCCCTGCCGCACGCACTTTGCGGCGAGATTTCGGTAAATGATGCACACGTCATCTTACCAGCGACGCGCAGAGCATATGGTCGAGGGCGTGGGAAGCATGATGACGGCCCGCCCAGGACGTACACTGTACTCAGGCAGTATGATAAAACAATAGTACACAGCAGGGATTGGATGCGACGCGACGCGACGCGACGCGACGCGAATGGCATCAAGGTGTACTGCACTTCTGCACTGCTGTTCCATATTATCGCGAGCCATACTATCGCGAGCCATACTATCGCGAGCCATAATATCGCGAGCCAAATCATCGCGAGCTTGACAGGCACTGACTCCGCTAGAAACGGCGTTGACTTGCAAACGCTCGTCTGGCAACGTCCTGACCCGAATATGCTCTGTAGGCGGAAGTCCTTGTAGCCCGAAGGTTGCGGCGGCGTGGCCATAAAAATCAGGAGGTGTCCTTTCATGGGTTACTCGGTGTTGTGGTGGGTTCGTGGTGGGTGTTATGAATGAACTTGTCAGAGTGCGCAGATATCGAATAACGAGAATGGAAATTACAGAATGACGAAACAATGAAGTAGCGAGGCCTAAATAGGGGAAAACCTAGCTAGGCGGGGGGTTCGGGATGGGATGGCTCGGTGATGGCCACGATTGGAGCGGAGGCCGACTCGGGGGTGGTTCGGTGCGACGAAATAGGGAAGGCAGGTTCGTCGCGACACCCTCGGGATGTCCTCGCTAACAACTTACTACAGTAAGGAATTCTAATTCCTTACAGTGGGGTCCTACGGAGCGGATGGTGTTGGATGGATTCATCCAATCCCTGCTCGTGCTTGGCGATGAGATGATGGGATCGGATGGATGACCTAGGACGGTGCAGTACGTTACAGTACGGTACAGTCCAGCCAGAACATCCTCGAGGACATGGCGGGCACGCGGCACTTCACAGTTGCACAACTGTCAACAGAGGATCGAACAGTACCTCTATATCGAGAACATGAAAGCCCTTCAAAACGTTTAGCAGCGTCCAAAAAGCTTGTCAACACTGGAACACCTGGGCTTGTTATTTGTGAAAGCATGGAGAATCAGGGTCAAAACATGAGAGACTAACTTCACTTCATTGCATGATAAAATACACAAATCAGGGTACGAAGCGTGACTTCCCAAGGCTCTAATCCCAATGTTGTCCTACGCTTCTGTACGTTCAACAGGCATAGACCTGCTCCACCCTTAGATTAAAATGGCCCTTAATCGGGCTCATGTGTTACTGGAGAGCCCTCCGCTGCTCCTTGCTCCCTGGGCACGTGCAATCTCCATGCTGAGGTTGACATTCTCGGAGCTCTCGAGCTCGCGGTCAATGCGCGCCGCCATGCGGTCCTCGTCCTGCCCGAGAAACTCCTCCTTCATGACGAGCAGCTCGCCCAGCACGCGGCTGATGGAGGGGCGCGAGGCGGTGGGCATGGCGGTGCAGCGCAGGGCCAGGCGGGCCATGCGCAGCACCAAGTCGTCCGGCGCCTCCAGCTGCGGGTCCCTCAGCGCGACTGCGTCGCCCGCTGCTAGCAGTGGAGCCACCTGGAGGGGGAGGGTGATGGGATTGTGTGGTGTGATGATTTACAACGTAGCTGATTTGCTTGTGTGATTTTGTGCACAAATTGGAGCAATGGGGAAATGAGTATGCAGGTTGACCCATTAAATGGGAGGATACAAATGCAAGAGGTACAAGGTAAGAGGAGTGAGGGAGCTGAAGAAGAGGAGTGAGGGAGCTGACGAAAGCGGAGGGAGGGAGCTAAATAAGAGAAGTGAGGGAGAGGGAGCTCACCCACTGCTTGAGGTTGATTTGATCTGCATCGGCATTGTAGATGGCCTTGCGCGCTGTGATGAGTGTCGGCATCACCACTCCAAAGCTGCAAGACAGAGAAAGTACACATGCATTAGGCACAACAGCATAGCAACCCATGAGGTCCAAGATAAGAGGTTCATAAGATGATATATTTAAATACGGGATGATTGCTAGTACCTGTGCACGTCAGCTTTTGGCGTGGCCTTCTGTGACTTGAAGTAAGCTGGGTCCACATAGCCCGGTGTGCCCATCACCCGCGTGGCAACTACCGACGTGCCCTCGCCATGCCTCACCAGCCCAAAGTCCGCAATCTTTGGCTGCAGGGGGCAGAACCCAAGTCGAATGATTACACTTTCTTGGAATGCAATGGGTAGAGCATGGCTTCGAAAGAAAGAAAGAAAAAACCACTTTTTGAAGCATGGATTTTTGGAGGTGTCCAATTCGGTTCTCACCTGCATGTGTTTGTCGAGCAGGATGTTGGCGGGCTTGATGTCGCGGTGCACGATGCCAAAGCTGTGGAGGTACTCGAGGCCGTGGGCCATGCCGATCAGAATGTCCACCCGCTCCCGCACCGCCAGGGGGTGCGGGCTCCCTGCACGCACGGACGGGAGGAGATCAAAAGATGTTTCAAGATAAAATCGTAATGCATGTGCACCAATGGGGGGTGGCGGCACCCTACGCGCATGGGTGCACATAAGAGTGTTGTGCATGCGCGGCACAAGAGAAGTCAGCTTGGGTCGGCTTGGATGTTGAGGGGCTCACGGGGACCAATCCAGCGGTCGAGGTCACCGTTGTCAACGAACTCGTAGATGACGATCTGCTCCATGCGCTCCGCCACCGGGTCATAGTCCATGCAGTACCCCAGCAGCCGCACCAGATGAGGGTGATTCTTTGTTGCCATCTCGTTCACCTGTGCAGTAAAAAAGAGGTGGAGGAAATGGATGTTGGGGGGGGGAAGAGTTAACAGGAGGGAGCTGGGAGGTTGGAGGGAAAGGAGATGGCTAGAGGGGCGAACAGGAAAAAAGTGCTGAAAATGCTGCAACAACCCACACAGAAGCGTGTGAGCAGCGCACCTCGCGCTTGAAATCATTCGTAAGTATCCTGGCGCGTTTGACGGCCCAGGTCTCATGGGGAGCGGTGGGGTTGGCGCCCCTGTACACATCCCCAAAGCTGCCGCTGCCAATGCGGTTTGCCTCCGCCCACTCGCCCGTCGCTGCCGCCACCTCCACCAGCGAGTACAAACGGCACACCGCTGGCCGAGCTTCTGTCACCCCTGCTGCCACGCCTCCTTCTATTCCTCCTCCTCCTCCTGCTGCAGCAATGGCTGCTGCGTGTGCTGCGGCTTCCTCAGCGGAATGAACAGCAGCTGCCTGCCACGGCCACCTCCACCCTCCTCTGCCTCCTCCTGCCCCTCCACGTGCCTCCACAGCCGCTGCTGCTGCAGCTGCTGCTTCTTTTCCTTCTCCAGCTGCTGCTGCCGCTGCTGTTGTGCCGGGTGCTGATGCTGGTGGTGGTGCGACATCCCCTGGAGCTGCTTCTGCTCCACCAATACTGCTCCTTCGGAAGAACCACCATCCACCACCACTTTCCATAGCAGCCTTCGACTCTTCCCCCTCCTCCTGCTCCCCCTCACTGCCTCCGCCTTCCATCTTCTCCACCTCCCCCTCTTCCTTGCTCTCCTTCTCCCGCCTCTCCTTCTCCCTCTGCTCCTTCACGCGGATGTAAGTCAGGTACACGATCAGCAGCAGCAGAGGCAAGAAGACCACAGACGCAACCACAATGGCTGCGATTTCCCCCTTACTCAGAGAGCCCTTGTATCTCGCTGTTGACACTGGAGAGAACAATTCAGAAACGCAAAGATTGGCATGTGAGTGGTGAAGTGAACGAGGTGATGTGCATTTGGGTCTGACGTGCACAAATGAGTCCAGCCAGCGTGCATTTGTGAGGCATGATATCTTTGCTGCTGCTACGGTTGGCTACGTGGAAAAGCAGCAGCGTCTTCAGGCGCCTACTGAGGTGCCTCTAAGGAAGAAGCAGCAGCGTGGGGCATGCTGACGTACTGTCAGAAGGGTTGCACGTGGCACAGAAGGCCTTGCAGAAGCCGCAGAATTGAGAGTACTCGAATTGGTATATGGCACAGTTCGTTTACCGGACACGTGAAATTATCCCAGTCAATGTTCCTGTCAGGAGGTGGTGGTGGGGTGCAAGTGCCATGAGTGCGGGAAGGAGGGAGGGAGGGAGGGAGGTAAGGAGGTAGGGAGGGAGGGAGGGAGGGAGGGAGGGAGGGAGGGAGGGAGGGAGGGAGGGAGGGAGGGAGGGAGGGAGGGAGGGAGGGAGGGAGGGAGGGAGGGAGGGAGGGAGGGAGGGAGGGAGGGAGGGAGGGAGGGAGGGCAGTACCATGGAGAGACAGCTGGTACAATGCTCTCAATGCTGGAAGATGGTAGGCCATAAATATGTACCGATGTTCTTTCACATGGCACCACTTGTTCCCCACTCTCTCCCTCCCTTACATTTCTCTCCCTCTCCCTTCGCCCTTCCTCCCTTCCCCCATCTGTTCCCATTTCATTCCCAATCCCTACACGTCTCAGTGCAGTTCTTACAGGCTCTGAAATTTCCCCAAGGTGGCGGGAAGGGTCCCGAACAGCTGGTTGGATTGCAGTTGGCTGGGAGAGAATGAAGGGTGGCAGAGGGCATGAGGCATGGGATACCCAGGTGGAGACGGTTGGAAGCTTCAAGATGGGTGAACTTGAAGGACGGTTGGAAGGAAACATGACAGCCCAGATTTCGAATCGAATGCTTCATAACAGTTCCAGCCATACTTACAGAATTGAAGATTCAAAGTAGTAGTAGGAGGGTGAGTAGCTTGTTATGGCGGGAATATTGCCGGTGAGCTGATTCTGTGCGATGCCACTGCAGATACGACGTGTGGAATGGATGTACTAGGAAACTTGAGAAGGAAGATGCGAACCCCAGCTAGTTTTGTTCCTCGCCACCTCTTGTCGCTTTTCTATCTCCAGTTATGAAATCTAGTCCGCGTCAGGTGGTCTTTCCCCACTTGTCACTTTCATACGGCCACTTGAGATTTCGTAGTCAAACAAAGTCGTCACGGCTCAAAGAATGCTTGTGTAGGGGATGCAATGCAAACGTCTGCTCTCTCCTTCAGCACGTTCTCCAGAGCACGCTTACAGGTAAGTGAGTTTTGAGAGCTGCATAATCTCCGAAGGAATGCTGCCAATGAGCTGATTTTTCGATAATTCACTACGCACAGGATGTTGGGAGAAGATGAAAGATAATAAGAAAGTTAGGCAGGGAGATGAGACAGGGCGGAAAGCAGGCGGTAAACGTTGAATAGCCTGTGACAGATGTCAAGAAAAGATGAGCGGACTCACTGCCTTCGTAAGGAAGTCAGAATGGACTTTTGAGGCACCTGAAAAGGCAGCGGTCTCACAGGTTCTTCAAGGAGGTGAGGGTGGAGATAGAGTCCGGTATAGTCCCCATGAGCTTGTTGTTCGCCAGGGACCTGCCATGGCACACAGCAGCAGCAGGCATGAGCAGCAGGCATGGCTCATTCTTTACTGCCACGTGGACAGGTAACACGGAGAAGGAACTTAGATGGAAGCGAAATACAAGCAACCCCGAAGGCACTTGTGGCGATGTGCAGAGGGAGGAGGTGAGAAGGAAAAGGGGTGATGGTGAGAGGGACAAGGGGTGATGGTGAGAGGGACAAGGGGTGATGGTGAGAGGGACAAGGGGTGATGGTGAGAGGGACAAGGGGTGATGGTGAGAGGGACAAGGGGTGATGGTGAGAGGGACAAGGGGTGATGGTGAGAGGGACAAGGGGTGATGGTGAGAGGGAGTCGTACAGTTTGGTCATGGCAGTGAGCTTGCTGATGCTGTAGGGGATGCTGCAGCCGGCAAGAGAGCGACTGCTGAGGTCTCTGAGAGAGGGATTCGCATCATGGCAAGGGAAATTTCAGGCGCCTAAACAAAGACTTGCATGACAGCAAGGTCGATGCAAGCGCGAATTCCATTCCAAGCCATCCAGATCCACGGAACGGCACTAGCCTGGGTGAGGCGATGGGTGGGTTGGGTGGGTAACCCTGAAGATGTATTCAACAAAGTTTATTGCAGTATTTTGGAAACGAAAAGCATGGCACATCTTGTGGTGCGATGGGATGGGCCTGTGAGGCGCTGCCACACAAGCAGGGGTTTGAAAGGTTGATAATGGGTCAATCAGTGAAGCGATGCGATGGGTCACTCACAGCGCGTTGATCATGCCGCGGCCGTCGCAGTCAACGCCTCGCACGGAGCAGTAGGACGGCTTGAAAGAGTCTTCCAGGCCGCACCGGGCGAACTCCGCCATCACCTTGGCTGCGCGACCCACCGCAAGAGACGGCGAGGAGAGAGCGGGAAGGGAAGAGTCACGGAATTGTCGCAGAATTGCCGTGGCGCGCCCACAGCCTTACAATGACTTAATTATTGTACAAGTATTGTTGTGCGTTTGGGCGTGTCATGTCTCCGGGATTTGATCACATTCGGTGTATCACACCTTGCGGGGCACCGCACCTTGCGTCGCGTTGTAGGCAGTCGTGGAGCACGAGCAATCGTAGTAGTAGGATGATGAGTAGTAGTAGGGTGAGTAGTAGGATGAGGAGTAGGATGAGTCGTAGTATCGTGGGCAAAGGCATTCCGACTTGAAGTTGCCGTACTGCGCATTGGCGGGTCGAGGGTGCTGGTTCAACCCGACCACGAGGAGCAGAAGCGTGAGAGGGAGAGTATCTTTTAGCAGCCGCGAGAGTGTGAGACACGCCATGATGGCGACGCGCGGTCGTGAGGCAGCTGGGAATCGTCTGTTGAACAAGAACGTTGTCGAAGGTAGTATCTTGAGAAACTAGAATGACTGGGAGCGGGGAAGTCAGTAGCAAATAATGTTAGGGTGGTTCGCCGCTGTGCTTGACCTAATCGTGACAGTGCAATGCTATGAATGGTCGGAAAAAAGACTACTACGCTTGCGTGGAAGCTACAGCTAGAACGCTGATGCTGCATAAGTACTAACATGATGAAACAGTGAACAAGGGAATGGAGGACGGCTATAGTAGCTGACGGCTATTCCTAGGATTCGGCAAATGTCGCCAAGGCGTTTGGCCGCATCCCAAAATGCCAAACCGCGACCGAACCATGGGTGGTGTTCTCTAGGCACTGGCGAGGGGGGAGCGAGGGGAAATAGGAATCTTCCCCCCTCTGCGTTTTTTGGCTCGATACGACGGTCAGCCCGGGAAACCGTGCCGAGCCTCCTATTTGCCCTCCGAACCAAACCGAAGGTAAATGGCAATAGAACGCTCATTTACCCTCAGGGATGTGCACCCTTCGGAAGGTTCCCATTTACCCTCCCCACCTTCGGAAGTTTGCCTCCCTCGCCCCCCATTCCGGCAACCACTCCTCACGGGGTTGCGGGACAGGCATGTGAGGGAGGTGCTGGGGAGGGAAAACCGACATTCCACCCGTAAAACTAACGACTGCTTCAGGGATTCTCCCTCCCACACGCGCAAGACCTTGGAAAAAAAAAAACCACGTCCCCTTCTTAGAGCAAACCACGGCTCAAGTTTTGAGCTCACAGTTGGAGGTTGGATTGTTGAAGGTGGCTTCTGTTTTCCGACAAGTAGTAACCCTGGTTTTGTTTGTACCCCGTCTTGCTTGTTATCACGAAATGGGCTACCCCCGTTTCTAGACCAGGAAAATGCCCCCACATGTTCGTCATTTACTGTCGGATCCTTCCCCCCCTGGAGCCTGAAATTTCCCGTCTACGGCTGTAGCAGGAGTTTGTCAAAACCGCATTGGAAACATCCGCGGAAACATCGTCATTTACATTCGCCCCTCCACCTCCCCCTCTAGCAGGAGTCACCAGAACAGCGCCATGGTCTGCCATGGCCCGTGTGGTGTGGACGCGACGTGTCAGTTTTGGTTTCGGTGTTGGGTTCCCATCGGTTCCGCGTGCGACCCGAGGGGGGAATAAGGGATCCGCGTTACACGATGCCCACAACAAGTTTTGCTCTCTTATAACGATGTTTTGATCAAATTTGATAAGACCTGTTTCGAGTGAAATTTGCACCTGAAAAGGCCAACGTCAAGAGGTGACTAAGAGCAAGGCGCGCAGCAATGTTACGCAACCCCCAAGTTAAGTAAGGAAGCCGAGCGATGCGGTGAGCCTCCCGCTCCACCAAAACCGACGGGGGCTTAGTAGTAAGAGCAGCAAGACGCTGGAGGGATAGTAGTTTGCCAAACGTGTGGGCGTACTGGGAGACGCAGTGCTGGAGCTTGTCAGAATCCCAGCCACTAACCAAAGGGCTTGTTTGTGTAGCGGTTGAGTGCGCTCATAACCCCCTAGTCCGACGTGCCTGTAACCCTTCCCTAGAATCAATCGGGGATCTCAAGTGGACCTCTGACACCCCTTGCACTGGGATGCTCGAGGTCTACACACCGGGATTCGAACCCGAGACCTTCGCTCTAATACCATGACATAATTCCAGCCACTAATCACTGTGATAAAAAATGGCTTGTTTGTGTAGCGGGTGAGTGCGTCCATAACCCCCAAGGCCAACGTGCCTGTAACCCTTCCCTAGGATCAATCGGGGATCTCCAGTGGACCTCTAATAGTGCTGGCTCCGCAGGTGGAGATTGACGTCGAGCAACCATTCATCAAAGTCGATTGCTGCTCCTCCGCATCGAGTCGTAGTACAAAATCAGACGACACAACCAGAGTGAGCAAGGTCACAGCTGCGGTGGATGAGAGGGAACAGCAACACGTGGAGGATGCGCAGTCAGAGGCAAGTAGGCATATAGTCTGCTGCAAAGCAGGCAGCACAGCGACGCGGCCGCGGGAGGGCGTTAATAAGGCCGCGATTGTAGGTGCGGTGGCATACAACAGCTGCAGACGCAACAGCCGGCAGGAGCAGAAGGCGCTGCGATGTCGAGTAGCAGCAGGTGAGGTGGCGGGCAGTAGCTGCATAGACGGCGGCAAGGCCAAGACGGTGTGGTGACTGAGCAACAGCAGGGCCGCGACGAGGCAACAATGGGGCCGCGGCGGAGGGAGGGCAGTGCCAGTGCCGCGGAGAGGCCCCGACACTGAGCCGCTGCGAGGCCAAGACAGGGCTACGACAGGGTCGCGGAGGGTTAGAACGATGCCGCAACGGGGCCCCGATGGGAGGTTTGTCAGGGGGGCCACGTCGGGGTCGTGACGGGGTCACGACAGGGCCGCAACGGGGCGTTAGCGGTGTGGGGGGGCGGGGGTAAGAGGGGGCCACGAGGGGATGGTGCTAATAGGGTATGTGGGGGGTGGGGGGGAGGGGGGTTCTGGAGGGGGCCGCTTAAGACGGGCTGCTAGAGGGGGGTCCGCTTGAGGGGGCCCCGTAAGCAAGAGGGGCCATAACGGTACGAGGGGCAGGTGTCAGATTTCCACCGGTAGTCGTTAATCACTGGGATAAAAGGGATTGTTGCGTAGCAAATGAGTGTGCCCATAACTCTTTAGTGGGTCAAGCTGGCATCTCCAATCGCGAAGCAATAAGCCGTTTTACCCTACTGGTTAGTGGTAGTAATCCTGACAATGGATGCATTATATTTTGATATTATTGTTGTTTTTTTTTTTTTTTTTTTTTCATGTCTTACAGTACCAACTCTAATTTTCTGACCTTGAAACAGGACTGATCTATAATATATATATATATTTGTATGTATATACATTGAATACATTAGAGCTTTGACAATGTTGCAGTTTTGAAAACCAAACAGAAAAACAAAAAAAACAACTCTTATACCCTTCGAATTGATCTATGCATGCCAATCTATTCGACTATCGCTAGCGACAGTATATTGGGCTCATGGGTTGCTTGAGAGTCCTCCACTTCTCCTTGCTCCTTGGGCACGTGCAATCTCCATGCTGAGGTTGACATCGGAGGATACCTCTAAGTCGCGGTCAATGCGTACCGCCATTCTGTCTTCGTCTTTCCCAAGAAACTCCTCCTTCATGACGAGCAGCTCGCCCAGCACGCGGCTGATGGAGGGGCGCGAGGCGGTGGGCATGGCGGTGCAGCGCAGGGCGAGGCGGGCCATGCGCAGCACCAAGTCATCCGGCGCCTCCAGCTGCGGGTCCCTCAGCGCGCCTGCGTCGCCCGCGGCCAGCAGCGGAGCCACCTGAGGGAGAAGGGTGATGAGATATGATGATATACAACGTAACCATCTGAACGAAACGGGCATCTGACACATCGTCATGGAACATTATCAAAAGACTACATTTGGAGCTGGATTTGGGACTTCAGGAATTTCTCTCTACATCACGTAAAAGAGTGGAGGAGGTGAAGAAGAGGAGTGAGGGAGGTGAAGAAGAGGAGTGAGGGAGGTGAAGAAGAGGAGTGAGGGAGGTGAAGAAGAGGAGTGAGGGAGAGGAAGCTCACCCACTGCTTGAGGTTGATCTGATCTGCATCCGCATTGTAGATGGCCTTGCGCGCTGTGATGAGCGTCAGCCATACCTGTGCACATCAGCCATGGGGGTGGCCTTCTGTGACTTGTAGTAAGCCGGGTCCACATAGCCCGGTGTGCCCATCACCCGCGTGGCAATCACCGACGTGCCCTCGCCATGCCTCACCAACCCAAAGTCCGCAATCTTGGGCTGCAAAAGGAACGTACCCGAGATGAATAATTCAACTTGGAGAATTTCATGGAATGCAATGGGTAGAGTATGGGTTGAAGGAGAAGACATCAGTTTTTGAAGCATGGATAATTTAGGGTGCCCATTTTAATTGTCACCTGCATGTGTGTGTCGAGCAGGATGTTGGCGGGCTTGATGTCGCGGTGCACGATGCCAAAGCTGTGGAGATACTCGAGGCCGCGGGCCATGCCGATCAGAATGTCCACCCGCTCCCGCGCTAACAGGGGGTGCGGTCTCCCTGCATGCACGCATGGACGGGAGGAGATTGAAAGATGTGTCAGAGTGCGAGGAAAACAATGCGAACAAGAGCCGACATGCAAACAGCCTGCACGATGCCCTAACGAGCTCAACTTGGCAATGTGGCGGCAATGTGGTAAAGAGCGAATGGCTGATGCATGCATTAGTCAGGCATGATGTCCTGACTGGACCGAGACTAATGCAGGCAATGTGGTGCAGTCTCGGTCCGATCCAGCGGTGTTTAAGACTGGAAGTGTGCAGTGTGCAATGCAAAGAGCTCACTCGGGCCGATCCAGCGGTCGATCCGAGGTCAGCATGGTGGCAGTACGTGGCTCACAGTGTCTGATCCGTTAACAAGTGCTAAACAGTGCGTAAAAGAGCCAACACTAAGCTGCGGTCGACTCAGCAAGGCAGGGTTTAGGGTGGGTGATGAGGGCTCACTGGGACCAATCCAGCGGTCGAGGTCGCCGTTGTCAACGAACTCGTAGATGACGATCTGCTCCATGCGCTCCGCCACCGGGTCATAGTCCATGCAGTACCCCAGCAGCCGCACCAGATGAGGGTGATTCTTTGTTGCCATCTCGTTCACCTGTGCACCGATGGGGAGGAGGAACCGGGTGTTGGGGAGGGAGAGTTAACAGGAAGGGAGAGTTAACAGGAAGGGAGAGTTAATAGGGAGGGAGAGTTAACAGGGAGGGAGAGTTAACAGGGGGGAGCTGGGAGGTTGGAGGGGAACGAGATGGGCTAGAGGGGGGACAGGAGCAAACATAAAAGAAGTGCTGAAAATGCTGCAGCAACCTGCACAGAAGAGTGTGTGCAGCGCACCTTACACATGAGATATGCTGGCCTAGGAATGATACAGTGAGAGTGTGTGTGTGGAGCTCTCTCTGTGAGAGCATGTGCAGCATACCTCGCGCTTGAAATCATTCGTCACAATTTTCGCGCGTTTGACGGCCCAGGTCTCATGGGGAGCGGTGGGGTTGGCGCCCCTGTACACATCCCCGAAGCTGCCGCTGCCAATGCGACTCGCCTCCGCCCACTCGCCCGTCGCTGCCGCCACCTCCGCCAGCGAGTACAAACGGCACACCGCTGGCTGTGCCTCCCCCACCGCTGCTCCCACATTCCCCACTGCTGTGCATCCTCCTCCTCCTCCTGCTGCTGCAGCAATGGCTGCTGCGTGTGCTGCGGCTTCCTCAGCGGAATGAACAGCAGCTGCCTGCCACGGCCACCTCCACCCTCCTCTGCCTCCTCCTGCCCCTCCACGTGCCTCCGTAGCCGCTGGTGCTGCATCTGCTGCTTCTTTTCCTTCTCCTGCTGCTGCTGCCGCTGCTGCTGTTGTGCCGGGTGCTGGTGCTGGTGGTGGTGCCGCATCCGCTGCTGCTGCTTCTGATCTACCAGTACTGCTCCTTCGGAAGAACCACCAGCCACCGCCACTTTCCGTAGCAGCCTTCGCCTCTTCCCCCTCCTCCTGCTCCCCCTCACTGCCTCCGCCTTCCATCTTCTCCACCTCCTCTTCGTCATTGCTCTCCTTCTCCCGCCTCTCCTTCTCCCTCTGCTCCTTCACGCGGACGTATGTAAGGTACATGATCACTAGCAGCAGAGGCATGAAGACCACAGACGCGATCACAAGGGGTACGAATGTTTTCCATGCGAATATGTAGTCTTCGTTGAATCTCGCAGTTGCCACTGGAAAGAAAATCATCAGAGAGGCAAAGGATCCATGACAAGTGAGAATAGGGATGTGAGTGGTGAACGAGATGATGTGATCAGTTGCTCTCTGATCTGAGGTGCCTCAAGTGTAAGCAGCAGCAGAATGAGGCAGGCCGCTTAAAGGGCTGCAAGTAGCACAGAAGCCCTTGCAGAAGCCACAGAACGGTCGGTAGTCATACTGGTCCACCATGCAGCCACCCTCGTTGACCGGACACGCGAAGTTGTCCCAGTCGATGCTCCTGGAGAGGCAGGGGATGGCGAAGGAGTGTATGTGTGCCATGAGTCGTGGAGGGCAGCAGCTTGAACGAACAGCAGGAGAAGTGAATGAAACAGTACTTGCGCTCCAAGGTATTCTACGTCTGGCCAAGCTAAATCGTACCGTTTTTCTTCCTCATGCCATCGCTCTTGTTGCTCACCCTCTCGCTCCCTATCCATGTCTGCCCGTATTCTCGCCCTTCTCCCTCCATCTGCCCCTTTGTCCTACCCCCTCTTTACTCGTTTCAGAGCAGCTCTTACAGGTTGTAAAATCGCCCCAAGGAGGCAGGAAGGGTGCCAGAAAGCTGGTTGTCTTGTAAGAGGCTGGAACAGAATGAAAAGTACCAGGGGTCACAGGGCATGGAAAACCCAGGGGAGATGGTTGGAAGATTAACAGATGGTTGAAATTGAAAGCGTTGAGCCTTTCCAAATTACGACTCTTTTCCACCGGTTTTGGGTTGAACGCTAGAATCTCCCACACATTACAGGCGCATTCCAGCGCCTCAGATTCAGGTTGCCTGTACAGGTTGCACTTCCGCTCTAGGGCCTTTCCAACCATACTTACAGAGCATCGGCGTATAGAGAGTATATCGTGCTAGGAATGCTTCCCGTGAGCTGATTATGCGAGAGGCCACTGCAGGTATGACACGTGGATATATATAGGAAACATGAGAGGGCCATGTTTGTTAAATTTGATTTTTCAGCCATACATACTAGTGTACATCCAGGTCTACATATACTTCAATGGCGCTTGGGTAGGAGACGCGGCGAGGCAAAGGTGTACGTGAGCTTTTCTGTTTGGCCCCGCACATTGTCCGGAGCTTGCTTACAGGTAAGAGAGCTTTGAGATGCCCATGATGTCCGAAGGAATGCTGCCAGTGAGCTGATTTGACGAGAGATCACTGCGCACAGGATGATGGGAGAGAAAGAAAAGGGTCAGAAAGGGAGAATAAACAGCCAGGGTGAAAATGAGTTGAATAGCCGATGAGATAAGAAAACAGGAACCGATTCACAGCCCCAAACGACGAGCGGACTCACAGTTCTCTTAACGAGGTGAGGGTGGAGATAGAATCCGGTATAGTCCCCATGAGCTTGTTGTTCGCCAGGGACCTGCCATGGCCGAACAGCAGCAGCAGGCATCGCTTAGATAAAAGAGATGCAAACACCCCCAAAGGCACTTGTGGAGATGTGCAGCGGGAAGGGGTGGTGGTGGTGTGAGGGACAAGGGGTGGTGGTGGTGGTGTGAGGGACAAGGGGTGGTGGTGGTGGTGTGAGGGACAAGGGGTGGTGGTGGTGGTGTGAGGGACAAGGGGTGGTGGTGGTGGTGTGAGGGACAAGGGGTGGTGGTGGTGGTGTGAGGGACAAGGGGTGGTGGTGGTGGTGTGAGGGACAAGGGGTGGTGGTGGTGGTGTGAGGGACAAGGGGTGGTGGTGGTGGTGTGAGGGACAAGGGGTGGTGGTGGTGGTGTGAGGGACAAGGGGTGGTGGTGGTGGTGTGAGGGACAAGGGGTGGTGGTGGTGGTGTGAGGGACAAGGGGTGGTGGTGGTGGTGTGAGGGACAAGGGGTGGTGGTGGTGGTGTGAGGGACAAGGGGTGGTGGTGGTGGTGTGAGGGACAAGGGGTGGTGGTGGTGGTGTGAGGGACAAGGGGTGGTGGTGGTGGTGTGAGGGACAAGGGGTGGTGGTGGTGGTGTGAGGGACAAGGGGTGGTGGTGGTGGTGTGAGGGACAAGGGGTGGTGGTGGTGGTGTGAGGGACAAGGGGTGGTGGTGGTGGTGTGAGGGACAAGGGGTGGTGGTGGTGGTGTGAGGGACAAGGGGTGGTGGTGGTGGTGTGAGGGACAAGGGGTGGTGGTGGTGGTGTGAGGGACAAGGGGTGGTGGTGGTGGTGTGAGGGACAAGGGGTGGTGGTGGTGGTGTGAGGGACAAGGGGTGGTGGTGGTGGTGTGAGGGACAAGGGGTGGTGGTGGTGGTGTGAGGGAGTCGTACAGTTTGGAGAGCGCAGTGAGCTTGCTGATGCTGTAGGGGATGCTGCAGCCGACAAGAAAGCGACTGCCGAGGTCTCTGAGGGAGGGATTCATATGGTGGCAATCGACTCTTCAGGCGCCTAAACAAGACTCGCACGACAACAAGCGCGATGCAAATGCAAATGGGTCTGTGAGGCGCTGCGATGGGTCTGTGAGGCGCTGCGATGGGTCTGTGAGGCGCTGGCGCCCAAGCAAAGGCTAGAAAGGTCACCTTCCACGATGGATGGATGCTGGCATGATTGGCATGGTGCGATGGGCGATGGGTGATGGGGTGACTCACAGCGCGTTGACCATGCCGCGGTCGTCGCAGTCAACGCCTCGCACGGAGCAGTACGACGGCTTTAAGGACTCTGACTCGCTGCACCGGGCGAACTCCGCCATCACCTTGGCTGCGCGGCCCACCGCAAGAGACGGCGAAGAAAGAAAGGGGGGAAGGGAGGGTGCTACACAGAATTGACGCGGCGCGCCCACACTTCGAAACCCTAAACTTGATAAATCGTCCTACAAGAAGTAAAGTTATCCACATTGCCTTCTAGTAATAGTGCTGTTGTGCGTTTGGGCGTGTGTATCAGAGCAGGTTAATGAGTCAGCGAAAAGGCGGCGTGGAACGAGCTCTGTCATGTCTCCGGGTATCACATTCGGTGTATCACACCTTGCAGGGTACCGCACCTTGCGTCGCGTCGTAGGCAGTCGTGTTGCAATAGCAGTCATAACTCGCGAGCCAGGGGGATCCGTCGTCAGGGCAAAGACAGTTCGAGTTGTAGTCGTAGAACTGCGCATTGGCGGGTCGAGGGTGCTGATTCAACCCGACCACGAGGAGCAGAAGCGTGAGATGGAGACTATCTTTTAGGAGGCCCGAAAGCGTACGACGGAGATAAATAGGACAAGCCATGATAACGACGAGCGGACGTGAGGCAGACACGAATGGTCTGTTGAACAGGTAAGTTGTCGAAAGTAACTTGAGAGACTAGAATGCCAGCCGCAAGTCAGTAGAAAATAATGTTGGGGTGGCTCGCCGCTGCTCTAGTAGAGCTTACCAGACTAAGTGCTTGACGTAAGGGTGATAGTGCAATGCTATGACTGGTTGGAAATAACTACGTCTGCGTAGAGCTACTGTAAGAAAGGTGGGGCTGATTGAAATACTAATATAGAAGGGAATGACGCAATGTAGCACTGCTGCTTGCTGAGAGAATTCCTAGTAGGATTCGGCAAATGTCAATTTCTCAACTAGAAAATCCACCCGCCGCAACCCAAAATCTCCAACCGCGTCCGAACCTTGTTTTTTCTGGTTGGAGTGGTCTGGTCAGTTTCGGTTTCGGTGTTTATCGATTCAGTTCCGCGTGCGACGCGATGAGAAATGGTGCCGCGAATTGCACAACGCCCCGCAACACAGGGTCTGCCATTGGCTTATCTTGATATTATCGACATGTTACTACCGGCTCCGATTGTCTGTATTCTAGAAAGTGAATATATTTAAGTTATTGGTAGATTTCTATTGACCAGCCCGATTTTCCGCTTGCAAGTCATGAACAACTTAAACGGATTAATACTTCAACAACCCCGTAGTTAAAATTAAAAAACTAAAAGAAAACAAACAAAACAAAACATCTCCTACCCTCTTTTAGTTGACGCTAATTTAAACAACTCTTGCTAGACATTGATGATTGAGCTCATGGATTGCATGAGAGTCCTCCGCTGTTCCTTGTTCCCTGGGCACGCGCAATCTCCATGCTGAGGTTGACATCGGAGGATATCTCTAAGTCGCGGTCAATGCGAACCGCCATCCTGTCCTCGTCTTTCCCTAGAAACTCCTCCTTCATGACAAGCAGCTCGCCGAGCACGCGACTGATGGAGGGGCGCGAGGCGGTGGGCATGGCGGTGCAGCGCAGGGCGAGGCGGGCCATGCGCAGCACCAAGTCGTCCGGCGCCTCCAGCTGCGGGTCCTTGAGCGCGCCCGCATCGCCCGCTGCCACAAGCGGAGCCACCTGCAGGATGCAATTTTTGGACGAACATTGTCATATGGTGGAATATTACAAAACCTTGAACTTTGCAAAAGTTTAACTTTCATGTGAAAGAGTGAAGGAGTTGAAGAGAGGAGTGAGGGAGCTCACCCACTGCTTGAGGTTTATCTGATCTGCATCCGCGTTGTAGATGGCCTTGCGAGCTGTGATGAGTGTCAGCATCACCACTCCAAAGCTGTGGGGGAATGCAAGAGCAAGTGAGTAATGAGATCAACATTGTGCAGTTGCTTACACAATGTGGAGTTGTATCCATTGCAAAAACGGATTGCACTTTCTCCCATCAATACCTGTGCACATCAGCCATGGGGGTGGCCTTCTGTGACTTGTAGTAAGCCGGGTCCACATAGCCCGGTGTGCCCATCACCCGCGTCGCAATCACCGACGTGCCCTCGCCATGCCTCACCAGCCCAAAGTCCGCAATCTTGGGCTGCAAAGGGCCGGGCACAAGTTCAGAGGCAAAAGGAAGTGTTGACAATGCAACACCACTTCTTGAAGAAAGGAGGGTATGAAGTGCCCATTTCAATTCTCACCTGCATGTGTTTGTCGAGCAGGATGTTGGCGGGCTTGATGTCGCGGTGCACGATGCCAAAGCTGTGGAGGTACTCGAGGCCGCGGGCCATGCCGATCAGAATGTCCACCCGCTCCCGCGCTAACAGGGCGTGGGGGCTCCCTGCACGCATGCAGGGGCATATGCAAGGAACAATAAGAATGAGAGCCGAGAATAGGCTTCAGATGCGAGCTTCGTGCATGTCAAATGCACGATGGCCTACGAGGTTCGACTCGGTAATGTGGTGACCTATGAGGCTTGATTCGGTAATGTGGTGGCGGCTCAACTCGGCAAGGCAGGGTAACGTATGTATTGGCAGCAGAAATGAAGAGAGGAAGGCTCACGGGGTCCGATCCAGCGGTCGAGGTCGCCGTTGTCAACGAACTCGTAGATGACGATCTGCTCCATGCGCTCCGCCACCGGGTCATAGTCCATGCAGTACCCCAGCAGCCGCACCAGATGAGGGTGATTCTTGGTCGCCATCTCGTTCACCTGTACCGTGAAGGAGGAACCAAGGGGGGAGGGGTGGTGAGGGTGAGGGGTAAAAGGTTGGAGTTGGAGGGCGGGAGTCATTAGATTCGGGTGCATCTTCGTGCGACATCAGGGGAGGGCAGGTGGTGGGGGCAGGGAGGGATAAAGGGGAGGAGAGCGCAACTGAAGCCTGCACACGAGTTACAGTGCGCTCGCCTAAAGATAAATCACTGAGATAATTAGTAAGGTCGCGACATTGAGGGAGTGTGCCACGCACCTCGCGTTTGAAGTCGTTGGTGAGGACCTTGGCGCGTTTGACGGCCCAGGTCTCCTGGGGAGCGGTGGGGTTGGCGCCCCTGTACACATCCCCGAAGCTGCCGCTGCCAATGCGACTCGCCTCCGCCCACTCGCCCGTAGCTGCCGCCACCTCCGCCAGCGAATACAAACGGCACACCTGAGGCCGCGCCTCTCCCCCCATATAACCCCCCGTTGCGCCCACGCCTCCTGCTCCTCTTCCTGATGCAACAATAGCTGCTGCGTGTGCTGCTGCAACCTCTGCGGCGGAAGGAGCAGCAGCTGCCTGCCACGGCCACCTCCACCCTCCTCCTGCACTTCCTGCTTTACCTGCTCCAATCGTCTCCACTGTCGCTGGTGCTGCTGCTGGGCTGTCTGCCAATGGTGCTGATGATGCCACTTGCCCTGCTGCCTTTTCTCCTGCTGCTGGCAGTGCGGCATCCCCTGATGCTGCTGCTTCTACTCCACCATTGCTCTTTCGGAAGAACCACCATCCACTACCACTCTCCACAGCAGCAGCCTTCGCCTCTCCCCCCTCCTCCCTCTCCCCCTCACTGCCTCCGCCTTCCATCCTCTCCGCCTCTCCCTCTTCCTTGCTCTCCTTCTCCCGCCTCTCCTTCTCCCTCTGCTCCTTCGCGCGGATGTAAGTCAGGTACACGATCAGCAGCAGCAGAGGCACGAAGACCACAGAGGCAACCACAATGGCTGCGACTTCTCCTTGGTCCATATCCTCCACGCTGTTGAACCCTCCAGCAGATGACACTGCAAGTGGAGAGCGGGAAAGGCTACTTGGGTGAGGCAGGTGAGCGGTGAGACAGGAAAGGCGACTCTAGCCTGGAATGAGGGGATCTCTGGCATTATCCAGCCTGACTAACAATTAACTTCGGTAGTGAAGAATCACAGCATCCCATCAAAGCACCATTCCACTTGTGCTTCCGAGTGGGTTTGCAAGAGTGCTGTGTTTGCACCCCTCCCATCTCCCTCCTGCACCCCCTCCCATCCCCCCTGCACCCCCTCCCATACCCAACGGCGAACGTGAAGATGAAAACGAGGAAGAGAATGACTCAATGAACAGCGGATAGAGGAATGTAGTTAAAGTACAGTAGTCAAAGTCTCGCACAGCCTTACTACTGTGCTTTGGCACGTACTATAGGAAGGGGTGCACGTGGAACAGAAGCCCCCGCACTTGGTACAAAAAGGCGAGTTTTTCCATTGCCTTACTTCGCAGGTGCCCTTGTTGGGAGGGCATACGAAGCTATCCCAGTCAATATTCCTGGAAGGTCATGGTAACAGTGGTATCGTAGGGTTGGGAGGAACATGGAGGGAAGTGAGGTAGCAGGGGAAGCTTGGCAATGCATGGTGCCTGCTTACAACAAATGGGCTATCCTATTGCCCCCAAGTGATGGGGCATCCCCGGCGCGACATCCTACCAATTGTTAGCCTGTTGACACCAGGCTAACAATTGTTAGCCTGCTGTATATCATCCTCTCATGTCAGCGCCCTCTCTTGTGATGAACCTTGCGCGTCCTCTCCTCACCTACTCATTCTCCATGACTGCGTTTAATATTATCACGGCGTGTGTCATTACACGTTTGAATGAAAAAAACTCCCCAAGAAGGCTGGAAGTGGCCCAGACAGTTGGTTGCCTTTCAAGTTGCTGAAATAGTTGTTTTGGGAAGGCACAAAAAGGGGGTGAGAACAGACATGAGGGAAAAAGGGAGGGGGAATTGAGTCGATGGTTAACGAAGACACAAATGTGTGCTCATTGCACTAACTCAGTGGTCCACGCGGGCAGTGAATGGTATCACACTGAGCACTAGGAGGCAGTGGCTGCAGTGGCAAGCTGAAGGGGAATACATAAGTGAATGCACGTGTAAGTGAGGGGCTAGAGAGGGCAGAAAAAGCGTCAGCGTGAAAGAGCATTTTACGTATAGATAGTAGTTTCTGTGCTCATTTTTAATGAGAAGGTCCCGTTGTATGCTCACAGAGTTCTTAGGTTTGGGAGTCTTGAAAGCTCCGAGGGGATGCTGCCGGTGAGCTGATTGTAGGCCAACCCACTGCACATGGAGGAATGGGGAATAGGAGGTTGTGCAGGGAGGTTGGTTATGGGAAGTTGTGCAGTAAACTCTGGGTGATGTGTGGTGCGCAAGATGAAAGGCAGCATGCACGAGCAGAGGAAAGGTACGGCCAAGGGTTACACAAAAGCGAAAAGACGTTTTTCAAAATCTAGGGACATCTGTAGGGGCTCCTTGTGCGTGCCCGGTAGATCAATTTTGGCATAATAGACTTGGTGCCTGCTTACAGATACTGGAGTCGCTTCAGCTGAGAAATCCCAGAAGGAATACTGCCAGCGAGCTGATTACCCCAGAGTTCGCTGCATGTGCAGGATTGAAATGAACGGGAGAGGTGCCGAGAGGGACGGAGAGAGACAATTGAGGTAATGCCGCAAAATATGGCCGCTTCACATGACATTGAAAACGCTCAATTTCGACTCAACGCTTCTGAGTGCATACGTGTACACGCATTTCCGCTTCACATGACATTGAAAATACTTCGGAAGCGCGTGCATCATCATGTGTCCATGAGTCCACACCAAAGACTCCCTGTACATCCACAAGTGCGGTGTAGTACTATGGAATGAATGGTGCATGCAGTAGTGCCACGGGACATACAGTTTGGTGAGCTCCGTGAGCTTGGTGATGCTGTTTGGAATGGAGCAGCCGGTGAGAGAGCGGTTTCCCAGGTCTCTGAGATGGCGGCATAAGGCATAAAAGTGGTGCGCAAATGAAGGAGGCCATGGAAAAATAAATACAAGCGAGAAAAACGTGAAACCGGCATGCGGCCTGCGTGGCCGCAGTATGATTGCATGACTCCGTCACTTGAGAAATTTCTCAAAAGCCCACTCAAACAATGGCTTGAAGACCAGCGAGTCAGACGCATGAAAAGTATTCGCAAGATTGAGTAGAAGCAAGCTCTTTACGAAACTAGGTAGAGCTGGAAGGTTACAGCGTGGTAATGAAGCCGTTTCTGTCGCAAGAGACGCCACCGATGGAACAGTAGGAGGGGCTGAAAGCGCCGGAGCCGTCGAAATAGTCCAGCAGACCGCAGGGAACAAACTGCGCCATCACCATGGCTGGCGGATGATGGTGGGATACCATCATACGATGGGCATGGGACGGAGAGAATAACTTCTCAGATTTGGAAGAGGGGTTCGGAAGTTAAATTATGGATGCTACACGTCTCGTCATCAGCAGTGGGACACGGCCGCGCTATGAAACAGATTTGTTTTTAGGCTGCTGGAAGTTCACGCATATTTGCAAATGCATCGGTGTTGCATATTATGGGGCTTGGTAAAAAGAAAACACATATCGTGTACCGTTCATTTCATTGCAGGGTGGGCAGGAAAAGTAGTAGCCGCCGCAGGAGCAGAATGGCTGAGCGGCATTGGCGGGGAGTTCAGCAGCGGCTCCGAGCAAAACGAGGAGTGCGATGGCGAGGCGACGACTGAGGCGCGCCATCATGATGATGCTGTAAGAAAACGGATAGTTGACAGGAAATGCGCTGCGACGTATATTCGAGCTACCGCAAAAGGTTGAGGATGGGAACGACTACGAGCGAACCTTGGAAAGGAGCAGAAACTGCCACAAACGTCTGAATTCTGAATCGCTGCGGATTCTTGAAAATTTTACCTTCATGGGTGGGAAGGGGGAGCTCGGATGTAGGGGGGGGGAGGAACGGCGCTAGGCGAATGTGAGCGCATTGAGGGAAATGCCGGAGAACTGGGGAGGAGAGAGGGCTGGGGGGGTCGGGAGGAGGAGGGGGCTGGAGTTCTGTATTGGCACCCGAGCCGCTCTCTTCGCTCATCATCTCAGGCATGTGACAGCCAGGATCTCTGTTGCTGAACGGATGGCAGCGGTTTCCGCCACCGAGGAAGTGAGAAGAAGACACGATGTCCAGACTCCAGAACTGTGATTTCGGCGGAGAATGTCTTGACCGAAGGGCGATCGCGATTGACTCGGAAGGTAAAGGATACACCACAACAACCCCTCTGGGTGTTACCCACACCTGACAGGATGCGTTGGCACGGGGGACCTCACCTCACCCATCAGAACTGACACAGCTAAACTAACTGGGCGACTTCAGGAAGGATACAGTTCAATTGACTCGGAAGGAACTACCCGTACGTTGGTTACAACCCACCGCGCGGTTCCCGAAGGTTGCCAGCTGGAAATTCATTCCCAGTGATGAGGCGTGGATGCCCCAACCCGTCCATTCCGTGCCACCGCATACAGTACTGGTGGGAAGTTGTAGTGGAGCAGCAACACTGAATTGCACACCACAATGAGTAAAGTTTGATGTGTATACAGACTAAAGGCACACCATACGCAAACCCAAATGTAATCACATTTGAACTCACAGAGTCTGCACCAATGCCTCTATATCTACGTGATATCAGCACTCAGCCAGGCCAGCATCCCCACACCACACCCACTGAGCATCGAAAGGACCCCAACACACGGGAAGCTTCACACGCTCCCTGCTCAACAGATCAACTAGAGGACAAGACCTATTGAAAATTCTCAAAGGTAATTTCGGCCTCGCCCTGCTCAGTGCAAATATGCGCCAGCACCGCAAGGCCCCTCACTTGTCGGTGATTTCCCACAGGGAGGCCTGGTGGTGCTGTGAAGGCACCTCCAGGGGATCCTCACAAAGCAGGCACTCACTCACCGCACTCCATCGTCATCTCATGAGTCGATATTATGTCAAGTAAATTCTGCAGTGGTCTTTCCCCTGCTGTATCCTTCCCCTCCTCCTGCAACAGCTATTCAGCAGCTCCAGATCCTCTCAAGAGAAATGCGGAATCATATGCAAAAGCACATGCCCATGCACATGCCAATGCACATGCGCGCACCTGTAGACGTCAGTTGCGGTGGTGGTGTTGTGCGTTCTGGTGTAAGCGGGGTCCACATAGCCCACCGTGCCCATCACCCTCGTCGACGCCATCGTGCCATCCCCTTCTCGCACCAACCCAAAGTCGGCGATCTTGGGCTGACAGGCAAAGAGAGTACAGGTTACAGGAAAAGAGGAAAACTATGGTTTTTCTACAGCCACCGCACCCGTCGTTGCAGTGTGGTGCTGGGCTTGCTGTGGATTGGTATAGTGAGAGAGGTGGATGGTCATGGCATGTGGGTACAGACAGCATTGCTGCAGGGCAGCACACTAGGGAGGAGCTGCTGAATTGAAGATGTTGAGACATCTCCCACGCAGCTGCTCTCTGGAGATGTCTCAAGACATGCTGCAGTGCAGCAGCACACTGGGGAGGGAGAAGTTGCTGAATGGAAGTGAAAGTGAGCGTTGTTCAGCTGAAGCAGCGCATATTGACTTGCCACACCACACACGGGGCCTTGCCTTGCACGCACAACGTCTCACACATGCATGCACTGCGCACTGACCTGCATGTTGCTGTCAATGAGGATGTTGGCGGGCTTGATGTCACGGTGTATGATGCCAAAGCTGTGGAGGTACTCCAACCCGCGTGCTGCTCCTAATAGGATGTCCAGCCGCTGCTGCAGGGTGAGAGGCGTGGGCGCATCTGCAGGAAAGGGGAGACCGGCAGAGAGGAAGGCGGAGACACACGAGGAGAGGCGGATTCTGAAAGGGTCGGGTGGGTGGGCAACTGAGAGGTAAACAGGAGTGCAAGAAGCGAGGGTGTGCGCGGGGTCCATTCATGCGCATGCATGCGCACACATACATGAAGCAATGAAATCACCAGAATGTGCAACACTGGTGTTGGATGATGCCCTTGCCTTGCCAGTTCTGCTGCAGCTGCTGCTGCTATTCTCCACACCAAACAACACCGATGCCATTGTCCTTAGCAGTACAGCAGTCAGCACAGTACCTGGGCCAATCCACCTCTCATTACCCAATAGCGAATGAACGCATAGACAATCACGTCCTCCCCACCACACCCAGACACACTAGAGCTATTGCCCTTGGTGCTGCTGCTCTCAGAAGCAGACTCATTACACGTGCTTTTATATTGTCCTTGGTGGTGCGGCACTCAGCACCTTACCTGGGCCCATCCATCGCTCAAGGTCCCCATTGGGAATGAACTCGTAGATGAGAACGTTCTCCACGCGTGTGAGCACGTCGCCTCCCACTGCGAACCCCAGCAGCCGTACCAAGTTGGGATGGTGCTTTGCGCGTGGACATCTGGGTCACCTGTGGGGGTGACAGAGGGCAGGACACCACAAGCTCACTGTTTGCGGACATGGAAATGCTCTTCGTTTGCGCACACGCTCACTGATTTTCTTCTTCTAATTAATACTTATTTCACCTAAACATAGGTACCTACCTTTCGTACCAGCATGAACGAATCAGACCCTGCTTAAACCACACTCTCTTCCGCTCCGCAGCCCACCCAGCTCAACTCAAGCTCCTCAGTCCTGCTACCCACCCAACCGCCCTCTCCCATTCCTTCACTCCTCTGAACCGCCTCCCACCCAGACTCTACTCCAAGCACCCACGCACCTCCCGCTGGAAGTCGTTGGTGATGACTTTGGCGCGCTTCACAGCCCACAGCGTGGTGCCATCGAGGGGCGACACGCCCTTGAATACATCACCATAGCCCCCCGACCCCAGCAGGTTCTCCTGGGCCCAGTCGTTGGTGGCGCGTGTGACCATCTCAAGAGGGAATTGCTGGAATGCTGTTGAGCTGCTGACTGGGACGCATGCGCATGCAGCTGCACACACACAGGGGTGAGGGATAGGGATGGATGGCGGATAGATGGCTTTCGAGGCGCCTCAAAGGGGAAACAGAAGAGAGACAGAGCTGTAGTAGCAGGCTTGCTGTTGTACGAGCATGTGAGGGTGCACCAACCAAGTATGTTGAGTTTACTTTTGAGAATTCTCAAAAGTAAAATTAACAGACCGTAGTAGCAGGCTTGTTGCTGTACGAGCATGTGAAGGTGCACCAACCAAGGAGAGGTAATGAGGAGTAGAAGCAAGAGGATGAGTGTTGTTGAGACGTCTCAAAACTAGATGCAGAAGAGAAGACAAACCTGCAAGAGTGGTCTTGTTGCGTGTTGTGAGGATCCACCAAGCTGCAGCGATGAGGAGCAACAGCAGGAGGACTGCTGCCACCACAATGCCGATGATTGCACCCGTTGACAGGCCGGATTGGTTGGTTGTGGCGGTGGTGTTGGCATTGGCTGCTGCAGGGGGGGGGGCTG